ATTAATTTTGTGACACTAATGGGCGCGGTATAACAAAATGAACAATATTCAAATATCTTCGAACTAACAAAGAATATTTACTAATAATATATTACGTTCTTTAGAATAATGAGAGGTAGGAAGCTACTGGTGACGAAAATTCCTTACGTACGAGACACTCGTACTGGCACAAAACATTTGTGTTTTATCAACTTGAACAGCCGCGCCCGACGGAAGGTTAAACAAGGTTTTACTGGTACGCAAGCAAGAAATAGTATAAATCTATTCTCTTTGTTGTTTGGTTCTTTTGGTACAAATCAAATAGTAGTAAGTTAACTCTAAGCCACAAGGCAGGTCTCGGACTCGTTATTTCGTTATTTGATTTAAAAATTCTACAAAGCCTAGAAATTAAAAGAAGGTGCAGCTATAATTTTTAGGAAAATGGGGTCGTTGGACATTTTCTATTTCCAACTAAGCAAGCATGCTATTTAGGGTGGCAGTGAATAAAATTAAAATAGCTATGATGGTAACCAACGTTCTAAAAGGACATGGTACATGAAGAAGAAAAAGAACTAAGGATTCCAAATCCTGAAAATAGTAGACCAGTCTTTGAAACTGGCAAAAAGTAAAAAAAAATAGCCATAGGATGGCACCGATTGTAAAAGGAAGATAATATAACAAAACTTGCAGTTAAAAAACTAGCCAAAAACAAATCACCCGGAACAGATAATCTTCCAGCTGAACTATATAAAGAAGGTGGCCATCATACCAGAATGGAATTACAGCAGCTTAGAAAAGAAATACTTCTTCTTCTTCTTCTACTTTTTGTAGATCTTTCGATCTGTTTAATTCTGAAGCTGCCTCTGGTTAATTTCTTGGGAGGTAGATTGCCAACTATCCCTCCATCTTTTAGGTGGTCTTCCGGGGGGTCTTGAACCAGGCGGATTGTTTTCTAGGGCAATTTTTGGGAGTCTATTCTCATCCATTCGTCTTACATGGTTGTACCACATCCTCTTGCGCTGTCTTCCCCATCTTACAATATCTTGAATTTTGCACTGCTCTCTAATGTTTGTATTTCTCACTCTGTCCCTTCTTGTTTTCCCCATTATTGTTCTTAGGGTTTTCATTTCGGCAACCCTTAGCATCTGTTTCGTTTTGTTGGTATCTTCGCGCACTTCTATGCCATATGTCATGATCGGTCGTATGCAAGTCTTATAGATTCTAATTTTACTATCTGTGCGCATATACGGATTAGACCAGACTATCTCCCGCAGACATCCTGACAGTGCAGATGCTTTGTTGATCTGACTCCTCAGGTCCTTTACTGGGTCATGGGTGCTTGATATATCTATGCCCAGATATCTGAATTGCATCACCTGTTCTATGGGGTTGTCCTCCACCACTAACTTACATCTGAGCGGATCTTTTGCTATTGTCATACATTTAGTTTTGTTGGTAGAGATGTTCATATTTAATAGTCGGCTTGTTTGAAAGAACTGAAAGAGCTGCCTTTGGAGATCATCTTCTGATTCGGCAATAATTGCTGCATCGTCTGCGTAGCACACCATACCAATTCTTTTGTTGCCCATTCTATATCCGAGATTAAGAGATGTTACTTTGTTGATAATTTTGCCCATGAGAAGATTAAACAAGAAGGGACTTAAACTGTCGCCTTGTCTAATTCCTCCCGGTGTTGGAATATTTTCAGTGAATTCGTCTCCTGCTCTAACTTTGGTTACGTTGTTGTTATTTAGGTTATGGAGTATCTTTGTTATACTGGTCGGTGTTTCATTTTCTATTAATATATTTAGAATGTCTCCCAGGCGAACTCTGTCAAATGCCTTCGTCAAATCAATGAAGCAAATATACGCTGGCATGCCGAACTCTATAGCTTTTTCTTTTATTTGTTTTATTACAAATACTGCGTCTGTTATAGACCGCCCTTTTGTAAAACCTTGTTGTTCTTCAGCATTAGTGATTTGCTTTTCCAATTTGTCCTTGAGAATACCCGTGAAAAGTTTCATTGTTGTATTTAAGAGGGTTATTCCTCTATAGTTTTGTGGGCAGGTTTTTTGTCCTTTTTTAAATATGGGGATTGTGATACTATTATGCCATTCCTCTGGTGTTTCTGTTTTATTTAATATTTTGTTAAATAGTTGTGCCAGTTTACTTGCAAGTTCCGGGCCTCCATATTTTAAAAGTTCATTGGGTATACCATCCGTTCCCGGTGATTTTCTGTTTTTTAGCTTTTTGATCTTTGCTTCTACTTCTTCGTCATTGATTGTAGCACTCACATCTGTTTCGCCTTCGTTTATATTCAGCGTTTCTTCAGCATCATATAGCTCTTTAAAATGTTGTTGCCATGTTTCTATAGGTACTCCTTTGGTCTGCACGAACTCGTTAACTGTTTTTTTCCTGTTGCGGAGCATTTTCCATACTTTCTTTTGGGCACCATATAGGTCGTAGTCCATGTCGCAAGTGAATTTGGCCCAATGTTCTCTTTTGATTGATTTTATTCTGGCGTTTACTTCGTTTCTTATTTGGACATATTCTGCATGAGCTTCTTCCGATTGCGTGCTTTTATATCTCAGGTAGCATTTGCGTTTTAATTCAGAGAGTTCTTTTACCTCTTGGCAAAACCACGGTTTGGTGTGGTTTGTCGCTCTCGTGTTAATAGAAAAGTAATACGGACACAGAAATCCCAAGCAGCCTACGAATATGTGAATATGCTGCAGAAACAGCAGATATAAATATAGACGATTATAGGCGATTTTTAGGTCGGCCAAGTCAGTCCCTCACGGGCTCTCCGAGAGCTTAGTGCTCTTGAGGCGCTGCTTCCTACTTTTCTTTATACTCTGTGGCTGAGATTATTTTCGATTAAAATTTGATTTTGGCTTATATTTTTGTTATGTAAGAAAATCTCGTCTTTCTTAGGACAAGCCATCAGAAGACTACAATTTTTAAGTCCATACTCTGGACAAGGATCTGGGTAGAGGAGCTCTAGGCAGTATATTCAAAGCCCTATAGAGCGTCCGAGGTTTCAGAAGGTATTTAAGACCTTCTGAAACCCTTGTTTATCATCCGAGACGACAAAGCTCATCCTTAAATGCACAATTATATCGAGAAATACAAAAATAAAACTCTACAAAACAATAATACGCCCAACCTGCTAACAAAAAATAATGAAAATATGTTAGGATGTTTTAAAAGAAAAGTACTAAGGTGAATTTATGGAGCAGTGAATGACAATGGAATGTGAAGACGATACAACTTCGAACTTTAGAGAATATTCCAGAAACTAGATATCATAAATCATATTAAGATAGGACGTCTGAAGTGGATCCGACATGTAATGCAGATGGAAGAAAATGACGCAGTTAGAAAAACGTTGCTTGATAGATCCATTTGCCAGAAAAGAAGAGGAATACCTAGTACAAGGTTCCTTGAAAACATTGATAAAGACATAAGAAATATGGTAATACGTGCTTGGTGGAGAAAGGCGATGGAGAGGAACGACTGGAGAGAAATTATTAAGGAGCCAAGAACCAACGTAGGGTTGTAAATCCAAAATGATGATGATGATGATATAATAAAATATAAAGGAAAAATACCTTACTGCTAACAAAGTCTATTATGGCCATTTTTGATGTTTCTTCAAAGCCGGAGTTCTCGAGTTGAGACTGCTTAAATGTATTAAGCTATATCAGAAGGATTTTATTCGTATGTTCCTAAAGGCGATAATGTTCTATTAGCAGATTTTAGATGATTCACAGATTATTCGTATTTATATCTAAACCTAATTCAGGCTCAAGCTACAGACAGTGTTAAAGAATGCATCCTGGAGACACGAGTCTGTTCAATGTTGAACTAATAAACTAAAGATAATATAAAACTTTTTTGGCTTGTAGACGTTTGACAGATACAGATTATAGTACACAATTTTTTTAAAATATAAAATTAAATAATAAATAATTTTCGTATTTCACAATAGACGTATCCTGGTTTTTTAGTAGATGGCTGAGAATGACAGGCTCGGAATATTAAAAAAAGAGTACTGGAGGAATGCACCTTGTCCATGCTTTTGAACATTTAATTCGATAGAATGTTCAGAAATTCACTTTCAGAAATTTTAGAAGAAATAATTGTGAACGGTCATGTCAATAACAATTTGCAATATGTTGACGACACACTACCCTTAGCATCTACTCAAGAAGACGTGCAAACATAACTTGACAATGTCGTTGAGAGCTGTAAGAAGGCAGGTCTGAATCTAAGGAAAAACAAACCAAACAAAGCACCAAACTTGAGCAAGCTAATCAAATTGTTTACCTTGTATATGAGTTAAGATGTAACCCAAAGAGTGATGGTGAAATTAGATTCAGAATTGAGCAGGCCAGAGCCGCTTTTAGAAGGATGTCCAAGGTACTATGTAATAGACTAAATTGGCATTGGGAATCCGTCTACTTCGCTGTTACGTATTCTCGGTCTTACTTTATGGTGTCGAATATTGGACGTTCAGCGTCCAATAGCTCATAACGTCTCAGCAAGACTACTAAGATTATAAAAAGCATGTAATGAGAGGTCCCAAATATAGATTGCTACAAAATATTATGCACACAAATTATCTACCTCATTATGCAAGGGAAAATGGCAAGCAAATGCAGTCCAGGACGAAGAAAGACTTTATGGTTGAAGAACTCGTGAGATCGGCACGGTATTTATACGAGCATGGTATTTACGGTGGCAGTGAATAAAATTAAGATGGCTATGATGGTAACCAATGTTCTGAAGGGACATGGAACATCCATATAAGAGATAACTAAATGTTTAAAGACTTCTGGTCTACCCAATATTGTACATTTCTGATTTTATGGCCTACTACTGGGTTGTATTTCAATTTTAACTTTGTTAGTCATCTAAGTTCTTTTTTCTAATACTGTGTGGTTTGTATTTTATATAAAATACTGCTCTGTAAGATTACAATAATGAAAAAAACCTAATAAAATATTTTGAAATATATATTATAACCAGCTATTTTTCGCACAAATTTGAACTAAATATTGTATTCTTTCTTTGGCTTGGGGATGTATACGTTTTCGTACATAGTCCTTATTACTTGGTTTACTTAAGTCAACTTTATGAAAACGTTCTTCTTCGCCTACTCTTTGACCTTTTGGTCCATACACAACAGCAATAACAAAAAATATACACCAAACAAGTGTTGTATGGACTTCATGCTTAAACTCTTTTAAAAACTCTGTATAACTGAAAGGTTGAACATCACATTTTAGTTGTTGTAAATTTTTGATTAAGTTTTCATAATAAACTATGAGCAAATGATCGAACTGATTTTTTAAAACACTTGTTTGTATGCTGGTAAACAAAAAGAATAACAAATCCAACACTGGCGATCTGTAGTCATACAGCTGGAAGTCTATAAATTTGGATTTTATTGCTTGATCATTCTCGAATTTTAGCATGATATTGTTGATCCAAAGGTCACCATGGTAAAAAGTTGAAAAAGGTTCTCTGGATTTGTATTCTTCCTGACACTTAAATTTGTCCCAAAGCAGTTTAACCTGAAATGAAAAGATCTTTATTTGATTATTATATAAGTATAATATTTACTATTTTAAATGGGAATTAACTAAATTTTCAGTAAAAAATGTGCATTTTGTTTGGTGATGCTAGTAAGGTTATTTTTATAAGTCTATAATTTATCGGTTGGTAATCATACACGTATTGTGAAAGTTTTTAGTCACCATAATTGCAACAATATTTCTACCTGTGTTATTTGCTTCCGATATGTATTCAACATGATCTGCTGTTCGGAAGTGTCCTTGTCCTTTCCAATAGGTCTCCGAAAGTTTGCATATTTCTATATCCCCTCTTTCGACTTATCGTTGTAGTATATGCAGTTTGCCTGGTTGCAATAATCCTCGAACATTTCAGGTTACTATTCCCATTGCTTCTCTTAACTGAAAATCTGAGTTTCTTTCAGGCGCCAATTTCGCATGTGTTGCCTGGTTGTTCACAAACACATGTCTAACTGATTCGATACATTCGTAATGGTGTAGTCACGGGAATATAATCAGGTGGTTTTTCCTTGCCTGCCTGATTGCAGTATCACGGTCGGTTGAATCATTACATGATATCCACCCTTCAGTATCGCCCTTAGTCATTAAGCCAACAGTACAAATCATTTCGCTATAGCCTTAGTAAAATAATGTCATAGCTGCTGCCTATGCCATGCCTATGCCATGTCGTCAGTTGGTCCACGGGTGCTTATTTGATAAAACCTTATTCACACCTATCCTACATATCTGTAGGACATTTCCCTATCAGTCAGACAAGGGGTGAAAACTTATAATATGATCCTTTATCTAACCGAGTAGGCACCACGAGATTACTTGGGATTTAAAAGATTGGACAGGCTAACCGCAGAAAATCCGGAAAGATAAATTTCAATTTCAATGCACTCTTCGAGCGGCAACAGCACTATTCATCCGCGCAATTAATCACTTGCAAGAAATATTGTGATTTGAGCGCTATACCATGACCTACTAGTTCTTCTGGATGCTGCAAGCTATCTTTAGGCTGTCTACATTGTTCCGAAGCATCGTTTGTAGTTGTCAATCAACACCAGATTACAGTATGAATTCAATTTAAAAACACTGACTTCAGCAACGTGTTTGTGTGTCTTACGGACAAAGAGAACAAAATAAAACAGACGTGTAAAAAAGTCAAAGAATCAATATTGTACAAAACAATCGAGATATTCCTCGTAATACATAAACGAATAGAATTGCTGACTTGGGAGATTTTATTTTCATAATTTTTTTATTTAGGTAAAAAACAATCTTACGTAATGCGTTGTTCGAACCTCCCTCCCACTCCTTTAAGGCAATGTAATGTTTTACGTTGCATTTAAATTCATGTTTAATGAAATGTGTTTGAATAACCACATATCAATATTGAGGATGGAACTGAAGCTGCAGTGTAAACGAAACAGGTCCACAACTATTGGACCCAAGTATCATGAAATTTATACAGTTTATTCGACAATCAAAACATCTAACTGACAAACTTACTTGAGGTATAAAAGGTACGCATTTATCAGATTCGTACAAAATTTCTTCCACCAAGAACCAGCCGTTAAGGAATGCATGATTTCTTATCTTTTCGACTGGGAAAGCATTATTTAACTTCGGTCTGATTTCCGCTTGAAACTGTTCGGGATTGTTCATCTTGAGTGCTATGGGTACTGCATGCAGCATTGCTAAGTCTTTTAAGATTAATTCAGCTTCATTTCTATTACAACCAAGGTATCTATCAATATTTTGAAAACCTACAAAAAAATTTTTTAATTCATTTAAATTAATTGTTAAAATATGTTTCTGCATACATAAAACAAATTTTTGTGCCATCAAGTTAAAATATGTTTGAAAAATATAATTTTTGTATTGCAATTTTTTAATGTTTATGGTAGGTATTTTAAAAACGTCTTTCTACCTGGAAGCTAAAACATCATGTAAAATAGGTATATACTATGTGGTCAATATGTATGGAATAAATTCATTTTTAGCGTTATTATGTACTATGTGAAAAAAACCTGCAACAGTTCGATTTTTATTCTTAAATTGACAATTTACAGTATGAAAATAATATACCCCTTCAGCACCCCCTTTGAATTATAAGCACCCTCTCGAAAATTTTAAATACCAAAGGGGATCGTATGGCACCTTTTTAAAAAGAGATTTTAGTTCTCTGTTTAGCAATATAAAATTTTTTAGGTTTGATGCAATTATAACTGAAAAAAATTATGTGTAAGATGTAAAATTTTGATAATGTCTCTATCGCAAAACTTTAGGTTGAATGAAGATAATACTGTCACATAATAATTAGAATGTGTTTTTCAATGTACTTTACAATTAAGTTAAATGCTCAAAATGACCACTATTCACTTCTTGACAATAACCGAGGCGAGTTTCGAATTCTCGTACAACATTTTGTACTACCTAAGGGGTTATTTTGTTAATTTCTTCCGTTATCCTAACTTTTAAATCAACAATACTGTTTAATCTATTAAAATATACTTTAGATTTTAAGTAACCCTATCAGAAGTAATCGAGAGGAGTCAAATCGGGGGATCTAGCCGGCCATTCGATCGTTCCATGTCTTCCAATCCACCTATTAAGAAAAAAGAAAAACATATAGCTAGACATTAAAAATTAATGTCTAGCTATATGTACAAAATACGGTGGGGATAGTGAATAGATCTATTTATCTCATTTGTATTTATTGCAAAAACCTTCTTTTGAGTTCTTGTTTTATTGCCATAACCAATCATAATTAAAATGTCCATTATTTTAGACTCGGACAAATGAGCCATAATACAATTTAATATGCGCACAAATGTTATACTGACATCTTTTAGTAACTTTAAATACCTAAATAACAGCAGCCTACTAGATTCATATCAATACCTTCAAAGTTTTTCCCCTAATGTTTATCAGAACAGGTACGAAAATACCTGACTATTTCTAAAGTATATTTTAATAGACCAGCCCATATTGCTAATTTAAAAGTTAGGATAACGGAAGAAATTAACCAAATATCCCCCGAGGTCATACAAAGTGTTGTACGAGAATTTCAAAATCGCCTCGGTTATTGCCAAGAAGTGAATAATGGTGGTCAAGTTAAACATTTAATTCAATTTTAAAAATCAATTCTCTCAGTTGTGATTGAACAAACTCAAAAAACTTTATGTTGGTGAACAGAGGACTCAAATCCCTTTCTCACAAGATGCAACATGACCCCCTTTGTTATTTAAAATTTTCGAGAGGGTGCTTATAATTCAAAGGGGGTGCCAGATGGGGATAATATTTTTATACTGTTAATTGTCAAATTAAGAATAAAAATCGACCCCTTTCAGGTTTTTTTCAGATAGTACATAATAATGCTAAAAATGAATTTATTCCATACATATGGACCGCATGGTATGTACTAACAATTGCCATTAATTTTTTTAAAGGTTAGTTAGGAAAGTAATTGCAATAAAAGTAGCTCCAAAACAATATTAAAAATGAGTTTCATCATTTTTATTATCAGTTAGCCATTCAGTATAATTTTTAGACTAGTACACTCTCTTAAAAATTACAGTCCCTCTCTGAACTGTAATTTTCTCTTCGACACCTGTGAGAGGCCCGAGTAATTGGTCTTGGTCCCTAAAATTTGTGAGAGGAGCAGGACCAGTGAAACCAAACACAGTCCCAGCGTCTGTGCACCGAGTGAGCGCCGGGCACCGCCGCTGGACGTTAAAGAGCGTCGCAACTGAGACGAGCAGATGCGACGCTTTTTCGCCTTCAACAACACAACTACTTGCCAACTCTCCCATGGTTACTCCCAATTACCCAATTTTCAATCTCGTCCACCCCAAAAAAACACATTCTCCCAACACATTTCATGGTGACTTTTACTAACAAAATTTCATAGAACTCACTGAAAAAACTTACCTGAAACATGTAGATTTTCTAACATAATTACAGCATCTCTGTCAACAACATCAGATCCATTCAGATTTATTCTACTTCCATAAATGTCAGCAAAACAGTTAATAACCTCCTCGCAACCACAGCTTTTTTGATATTTTTGTAACGTTGGCATTATTTTCTCGTAAAAGTCGATTTCACCTTTGAATGTTTTTTGTACATTAAAAAACCTTTGGGAAGTTTCCCTTTCTGAGATCCTCTTCGCGACAACATGGAGGACTTTATGGCTTCTCGTTTTTCTATCTTCAATTGTTATGTCAACTTTTAAAACTTCCCCGCCAAAGTTTTCTCCTGGTGGTATCAAATTGGTAATATCGTTGGACACGATTCTGCGCTCAGGCCCCAAATGCCTGTGCAAAACACCTTCAAGATCTTCTATAGACATGTTTTGAATCCAAACAAATAAATAATTATGATTTAAAAAAAATTTGGTAGGAAATTTATATATATCTACTAGACAAACAAATAATAGATATTTGAGATTCAAAATTTGTTTATCATTCTTTAATTTGACTAGTAAATTTAAAGGTGCTTAAGATGAGTCACTAAATATATTTATTTTATAAAAATTATCTTCAAAAGAAATACTATATTGTAAGAAGTTTCTTTAAAAACAGGTCAGGTAAAAATGCAAGTCATAAATGGTTGCAAGTCATGTAGCCAATATTTATTTCATTTAGTTCTAGTAAATCATACGAAAGTTTGGTATTTGGGATAATAATTACCATGCCATGACATCACTATGTCATTGAAAACAACAGAGGCCTAAAATATCTAAGACCAACACCGGGTGTCTGAAAGATCATCCAAATTAAAGACACCAATAATAGGGAAGAGAAAGACAATATAAAAAACCAAGATAGTCGAAAAATATTACAAAAAAATCAACTATAATCGAATCAATTATAAAAATCAACAAAAAAAAAAAGTGAACAGAAAAATAAAAACATGTATCAGAGGTACTACCAAATGTAGAGGGATTCGAAATAAAAAGAGCTTTAAAAGAGCTTTAAAGGAGCTAAAAAATATGGAGCTAATAAAGCTCCAAGACACGAGGTTATAGTGGCCGACCTCTTAAAAACAAGCAAGACAGTAACAGTCTCTTTATTATTAGAGCTATTTGACAGATCTCTTCATAATAGCAAAATCCCTAAAGACTGGAAAAATAGTCTGGTAGTACTCATAACTAAAAAAGAAGACAAATGTGACCTAAAGAATTATGAATTGAAAAAGACTGTAAGACTGTAAGAAGTACACACTTCTAAATAGGTCTAACTGATAAGCAAGTTTTGTATGTTTTCAATAAAATTGATAGTGTGTAAAATAATTTATTAATTAGGCTTAGTATACTTTCGACATAATAAATGTCATCATCAGAGCTATCGTCAATTAGGCAATAAATACTTCATAGAAGGAAAATTGTGGACAAACAACATATTAAAAACAAAGATCGGGCTCTCTAGGCCACAGATCTTGGGTCTAACCCTTATACATATGTATAATTTACATCAAATAGTTAAAATAGAAAACATGGCTACCACATACAGCGACGACAGCAGCATAGCAAAAATTACTAATAGTTTGTCCGTTGATTTTGATTCCATCTTCAGTGTCACTTAAGGCTCTATCAAAAATCCATTCAGAGTAAAGATTAAAAAGGACGGGTGACAGAACACAACCCTGTCGTACACCGTTTTCGATTGAGAAATATGCAGATTCCAGTCCTACTCTCACAGATGCCACTTAATTAATATAAAGGTTCTTTATGATTTTAAGGTCATTCTCATCTATCAAACGTTGCAGGAGCAATATTACTAATTCTGAATGATTAACACAATCGCAATATTACTAATTCTGAATGATTAACACAATCGAAATATAGCCGAAACTTTACAGAGTAATAATCCCAAACTTCTAAGTATCGACGATCACAATAAATTAATAACAGACTCAGTTAGAAACGCACAACTCAAATTTTGCAAGAAAAATGACACCAAAAGTGAAAAGATTAGCAAAGATACAAGGGCTCTCATGGAAATACGACGAAACCTAAGCGAGAACGAAAAGGGAAACAAAGAAGAATATAAAAAACTAAATAAAAGAATTTCAGCGGAAATTAGAAAAGATGTAAGAAGATATAATACTAATGTAATTACTCAAACAGTAGAAGAGAACAAAGGTTTAAAGATAATGAAAAGAAAACTTACGCAAAGTAAAAAAGAAATATACAAGCTGAGAGATAAAGACGGAAAGGCAACAACAGATAAACAAAATATTCTGAAAATAACTAGAGAATTTTATAAAGACCTCTATACCAGCCAAAGACCACAAGACAATTTCCCGACACGAGTAAAGACTCTCATAAATCAGGGATCGGAATTACTTTTACCCATTACTGTGTCAGAAGTAAGAGCTGCTTTAAAGGAAATGAAGAACCATCGATCGCCTGGTGATGACGGACTCGTTATCGAGGCAATAAAAGCAGGTGGAGAAATTTTATTAAAATCAGTAAGCGAACTGTTTACTAAATGCTTACATGCGGGAACGATTCCAAAAGACTGGAACAATGCAGTAATAGTCTTGTTACACAAAAAAGGCGATATTACTAAATTAGAAAATTATAGACCCATCAGCCTCTTGACACATATGTACAAACTCTTTATGAAAATCTTAACAAAGAGGCTAACACCTAAACTTGATTTCTATCAGCCCAAAGAACAGGCAGGCTTCAGGGCAGGATATGGCACAAATGACCATTTGCATACCATAAAGATATTAATAGAAAAGTGCATCGAGTACAACATACCACTGGTTCTTGCATTTGTCGATTACGAGAAGGCTTTTGATTCTGTAAAGTTTGAAACAATACTGGAAGCCCTAAATCAAAGCCGAATAGATTACAGGTACACGACACTAATCAAAAACATCTATCAGAACGCTACATCAAGTATACGACTGCACGAAGACACAGAAAAATTCAGCTTAGGTCGAGGAGTTAGACAAGGAGACAATATTTCACCAAAATTGTTCACGGCAGCTCTAGAGTCAATATTTAAGGGTACTCAATGGCAAGATATGGGCATCAATATAGATGGAGAAAGATTAAATCACCTGAGGTTTGCAGATGATGTTGTATTAATCGCAGATAACTTACAAGATACGGTTTCTATGATGCATTCGCTTAAAAGTCTGTCTGAAAGTGCAGGATTAAAGATAAACTTTGAGAAAACTAAAATTTTAACAAATCTCGTAATGAGTGGAAATATAACTATTGACAATAATACCATACAACAAACAGACACTTACAAATATCTGGGACACGAAATCAAAATAAGCAGAGACAATCAAACACATGAAATACAGAGGCGAATAGGTCTAACATGGGCAGCATTTGGCAAATTAAGCCATATTCTAAAAAGTTCAATTCCCATGTGTCTCAAGCGAAAGGTTTATAACCAATGTGTATTACCTGTACAAACTTATGGAGCAGAGACATTAACACTCACGCAAAAATCTGCGAATAAACTTAGAGTTACACAACGAGCCATGGAACGTGCAATGCTGAACGTGAGCCTTCGAGACCACATAACAAACCAACAAATTAGGCGAAGATCAGGAGTTCAAGACGTCATCGAAAGAACCACTACGCTTAAGTGGAACTGGGCAGGGCACTTAGCCAGAACACAAGATGGACGGTGGACAAGACGTATTATGGAATGGAGGCCCAGAAATTATACAAGAAGCCGAGGACGACCACCGACTAGATGGACCGATGACATTAAACGTGTAGCGGGAAACTGGCTACAAGCGGCCCAGTGTAGAGAACACTGGAAAGAACTGAGGGAGGCCTATGTCCAGCAGTGGACGCGATTGGCTGATTGATGATGATGAACACAATCGAACGCTTTTTGGTAATCTACTTTATTAGAATTATCTTTAAGAGTTTTAGGACCTGGCTCAATAAGCTGATCATTCGGAATTGGTCGTAACTATTAGGGTTTGGCTTTTTTGGAATTGGTATAAAGGTTGATGAATACTATGTGTTCTCTGTAATATTTTATGGTTTGTAGGCTTGGACTTTAAAGAAAGATGTTTCGGACAGATTGGAAGCCTTCGAGTTATTGGCCTACAGAAGGATATTAAGAATAAGTTGGGTAGATAGAGTCACGAATGTCGAGGTGTTGAGAAGAATGGGAAAAGATAAAAAGGTCTTAAATACAGTTAAAATCAGAAAACTGCAATATCTGGGACATGTATGGGACAAGAAGACGCATCTCCTAGTTAAATAATTTGAAAGCTTGGTTTAACTGCACTTCTGCTGATCTCTTTCGAGCAGCGGCGTCGAAAGTGCGAATGACCATGATGGTTGCCAACCTTCTTATAGGAGATGGCACGCGAAGAAGAACCTTAGAGGAGATGGCATCAGAGAAGTAATATTTGCTTTTAATGTTTTAGCTCCAAGATGCGTGGATATAAATGTGCATGTTTGTTACGTTGAGTTTAAAAAAGCATTTGACAAAGTAAGAAAAAGCATTTGAAAAATTAGTCAATATTCTAAAGACAAAAAACAGACCACAGGGACTAACGAATAATAACAAACCTCTACTGAAATCAAAGAGCACAAATCGTAATAGATAACGAACCCAGTCAAGAAATTAAAATCAGGAGAGGAGTTAGGCAGGGATGTATTATGTCCCCATTACTATTTAGTGAAGCCATTTTAAAAAAAGCATTACTATCTCAAAGTGAAGGAATAATAATTAACGAAAGATCTATTAATAACATAAGATATGCAGATGACACTGTGATTATGGCAGACTCTGCTGAACAACTCCAATTACTGCTAAACAAAACAAACAGTTTCTGTGTAAAATATGGACTAAAAGTAAATATAAAAGAGACCAAATACATGATAATAACAAAAAAAAAATATACTAACAAACATACATTTGGGAAATGTACCGATAGGAAGGGTTGATAAATATAAATACCTAGGAACCTGGATTTCAGACAATAATGATCAAACACCCGAAATAAGAGCTAGGATAGAAATAGCAAGAAATGCGTTGGTAAAAATGAAAACAATTCTCTGCAACAAAGATCTTAGATTAGACCTGAGAGTAATAGCACTGAGATGCTACGTGTTTTCGATACTGCAATATTGACATGAAAGCAGGATATTGAAGCAAGAACACATAAATAAGTTATAGTCCTTTGAAATGTGGTGTTACAGCAGGATGCTTAGAATAGCATGGGCACAAAAGAAAACTAACACGGAAGTATTGCGAGAAATGGGCAAAGAATGCGAAAGAATAAACACAATAAAAATAAGAAAGTTAACAATATTAGGGACACGTACTGAGGGGACAGCGATATGAACTGCTA